AGAGTAGACATTTTCATTATGTTAATTCTTGTAATCCATGTACATGGATGTCTTTCTAGTGTTTGTGTCTGCTTCAGGTTCTTTCACTGGTGTTTCATAATAGTCATGGTAGAGAAGACACTAAACAATGAACAAGTAGGAGTACTTTCTACATGACTTGGCACATGTTTTAATGAGATGTGGGGGCAAAGCATCGAGGCCTGTCTGTGTCTAGCACACAGTACCTACTCAGTCACATTAGTTCTTACCAGCCCATCACCCTCTGCTCTTTCAGAATCTCCTCATTGCCTTAGACTCATGGATAACTGTTTATGGTATAATGGACCCTTCTATTCACCTATGTTAGTATTCCTCAAATGATTCAAATGTTTAGTATTATTAATAATGTCTCAAGGAGCATCATCTACATATATTTGGTGTGTCCCTTATTGATTGTGAAAGTACTTCTCCAGGTTGTAATCCTATAAAGGCAATTGCAAGATCAAATTTCTGGTACATTCCTGATGGTGCTGTTCTGGCCCCATTGCCTGGCATGAAGATTTTCCCATTCACATTCACAGCCACTGATGAGAATGTTCTTTTCTATACCCCCTTGCAGAAACTAGACAGCCCCTGTTACCTTCTGTTAACTTTTACCAGCACTTAACTCTTTATTGTGAGATTTTATCAACTCAGATTACACTCAATAGGCCTGGAAAGGCTTCGATCAGTGGGATGCTCTGTGTTCTCTTGTATTGGATGACTGCTCTGTTCTGAGATAATCAGACAACAGCATTGCGAGCACACGAGTCTTGCATGGTGGACGCCACTGCATGTTGGGTTCCTGCAGTGTTCTGGATTTTGCGTGTGAGGCCCTCGTTTCTCTGTCTCTCTTTCCTTTCTTTCTGCTTGCATCCTTATTCTTTCTTTCCACAGATTTGGGATTGGTCTGCTCCTGTTTTACTAGGATTTTTGAGATACTTTGTTAGGTTATTTGAAGTCTTTCTAATTATTTGATGTAGGAACTTAATCCCATAAACTTTCCTCTGATACTACTTTTAGAATTTCCCATCAAATTCAGTGTGTTGTGCTTCCGTTTTAATTGGATTCATGGGATTTTTAAATTTCCCTCTTGGTTTCTTATCCAGCCTTTATGTATTTGTATATCTTTGGGGGTTTTTTGTTGTTGATTTCTACTATTATAGCATACATTATAATTTTTTTGAATTTGTAAGATTTGCTTTATGGATCTGTCTTAATGAATGTTCCATATGTAGATGAAAAGAATGTGTATTCTGCAGCTGTGGAGTGAAATATTCTGTAGTCATCTGTTATGGCCATTTGGTCTGTAGTAGCTTCTCTCTGATGTTTGTTAATTTTTTTTCCAGGTGAACTCTTCCTGTTGATGAAAGGTGAGTGTTGAAGTCCCCCACTATTACTGCATTAGAATTCATGTGTCCTTTATATATAATAGTTTTGTTTTATAAATTAGGGTGCTACAACAATGGGTGCATATGCACTTACCATTGTCACATCCTCTTGTTGAATCAAACCCTTGATCATTTTATAGCTACTGTCATCTCTTGTTCCAGTTTTTATCATCAAACCTATTTTATCTGATCCAACCATAGGTACTCTTGCTCACATCTAGTATCCATTAGCATAAGCATCTTTTCCCATCCTTTCCCAAAGACAGTCTCTGTCTTTGCCAGTGTGTTACTTCTAGGCAGTTCTTTGGATTTCACAGCATCGGGTGCACTTACCCAGCCTGTAAAAATGTATCTACCTGGGCAGAAACTTCTTGGTTTGATAACATCAGATTTTTCCAATTTTCTTTTGCTGTCCATGTTCTTTTGGTTTTAGCCCAAAAACTGTGTTAATGCTGCCTATTTCTTAGAACATTTGTGCTATGTTTTCCTCTGTTAGTTTCATAGTTACAGATCTTAGATTTAGATCATGATCCATTTTGAGTTGATTTTTGTAAACTAAAATCCAATTTTCCCAGTCCAATTAAACAGATGTGCATATCTCCAGGTATTGTTTTCCACAACTTTGTCAAAAGTAAGTGGGATGTAGGTGCGTGAATTTCTAGGGGTTCTCTTTTTTTCCATTGTCCTATGTGTCTATTGCTATGTTGGTACCATACTGTTTTGGTCTCAGTAGCCTTGTGGCATATCTTTAATTTTGAACTGTGGTGCCTTCAGCTTTGGCTTCATTCTGTTAAGAATATTTTGAGTATTCCAAGCTTTTTGTGTTTTCATAAGAATTTTAAGATTTTTTTCTTATTCTGTGAGGATGTCATCAGTATTTTGATGGGGGCTACATTAAATCTCTAAGTTGTTTTGGGTAGTTTTGATATTTTAATAATATTAATTCTTCCAAATCAAGAATATATGAGGGAATTCCATTATTTTGTGTCTACTTCATTTTCTTTCATTAGATTCAATGTGTTTGAATTTTCATTGAAGAGGATTTTCACATCCTGGTTGAACTTTTCATAAGGTATTTAATTTTTTGTATCTGTATAGAATTGGATAGCACTTATCAATTCTCATCAAGATGGTTGTGAGTATACAATAAAACCATTGACTTTGGAATTCCAAACTGTTAGCTAATGAAGAATTAATAATCCAGAACATATGAGGAAAGGAAACACTGCACCTGTGAGGTAGACACCTCAAGTGGGATTTCCCTGGGTCATGAAGGGAGATGTGAATGAGGTGTTGGAGGCATTTGTTACATGTGGATGCTGTGTGTGATTCCTTCCATCTGTGCTACTCTGACAATAAACACACTGCTTATCTGTCCCCATGTGCAGTGGACATAGGGTGACAATGACAGTGACTCTAATTCAGCAAGGGCAAAAATGGAGGCTACAAGGAAGTCATGGATCCAAAAGTTATCAAGTTGAGATGGGTAAATCCAACAGGACTTCCTGGGATAGCTTTCAAGGCCGAGGACTAATCCTCTGTGACGTGGGGCCTTGCCTCTGGGTCTCAGCCTGTGATACTTCCATCTTCATTTGATCCAGTAATCATGCTTTCTTCTCACACTTCTCTGATGTGTGTCTTCTTCCTGGTGTCAGCAGCCTTCTCTTGGTTGTTTTGCGCATACACCTTACCTGAGTCAGTCTGCCAATGCCCCGTGCTTGGCTCTGATCACTTTCTAACAGGGGCTTTTCTCACGATCTCAGGCACCTCAGGAAAATCTTTATTGACCTGATATCCATTGGTCATTGTGGTTTTTAATTTTTTATCATTGAAACTGGCAACATTGCCTAGCAGAAAAGCTAGGTCCGCAGAGGTCCAGAATGAATCTCTACTCTCCCTGGCTCCAGGAGACAAAAAGAAGAACATGGATCTCCATACAGAAATGACCTCCACAAGGTCTGACACTCTCCAGCATTGCAGCAGAGGAGAAATCCTGAGGGAGAATTCCAGAGGTAAGGGCCCACACAGGACAGGCAGGGCTGTGTTAAATACTCATTCAACTTGTGTGTTCTCTGGTCCCATTCTATCACCCAGTGATTGAAAACAGACAGAGAATACATAATGGGACAATAGAAATGTGGGAAAAGCTGTGTCCAAGGAATGACCCTCATACTTTTGTTTGTTTGTTTTTAGCAGCAGAAATAGCAGTGCTTTATCTGAAGTCTACAAAACCCAACAATGCATTCTTGGAAGATAAGAGCATGCTCGGCACAGGGAAGCTGGAGGTCAAAGCTCATGGGGTGGCCCTCCTTCCATCAGGTGCTGTGGTGCTGAGAAAACCTCTTATTCTCTATGGAGCTCAGGTTCCTCATCAGTGAGGTAAAGTGTGTATTGTTCCTCTCTGAGGTCCTGCTGCTTAGGTTCTTCTGAGTCCCTGGGGAACCACACATGCCCTGGGAACTGAGGCTGAGAGCTGACCTAGTCCCTCCTCTGTGTCTCCTCCCAGATCCGGAGCTGAGTCCACATCCTGAGAACCCAGAACTGAAGGTGCAGATGAAGGAAGACGAGCAGCTCTCTGGGATGTGAGAATGACCCAGAGTATGACAAGGTAATGTTAGGGTGAGACCAAGTGTGGGTGAGATGAAGGACACATTGTGTCGGAAACCTCAGGGGATACTCAGAAAGGCCTACTCCACTGTCCAGCCCCTGAAGGAGCCACCTTCCATAAGCACTGAGGTCAGGAGAGAAACTGACTCCACAGTGAACCTGTGCACCTGGCCAGGGAGATCCCTGGATGGAATCAGAGCAGGTTTATGCTGAACACAAGCTTTCCATGCAAACTAGAGATCCTGGTAACTTCAGTGTCACCACCAAAAAAAAAAAAAAAAAAAGAGGGAGAGAAAGAGAAAGCGCACCCTTCCTGCCCTCTTCAGCTAGGTACATTTTCCCATCCATGCTCAATTCTGCCATGCAACACACTGCACAATCCAATAAAATGGCAGTGGTGCAGTTCCACAGCCCCAAAGTAAGGATCCCCACGATCCCCACGATCCCCACATGGGGCCAAGACCTATGTACATTGTTCACAAGGCTTTTGCTTTCTCTGTGCTATAGTGTGATAGCACTCACAGAACTGAGTAGCCAAAATAATTAATCATTCATCTGAGAAATTGGCAAAGGACCTGAGTAGAATTACTCCATGAAAGTACCAGGTTTATGACAAGTTGCACATTATCAGTACTCATCAGGGGAACACCATTCCAAACCACAGAGAGATATAATCACCTTTGAGAAGCAGTAACCTTGGACAGCCCTTTGCTAGGCTGTTGAGTAACAGTTCTCTTAGTTTTCTTGTTCCATTCTGTCTTTTTTTCTTTCTCAGACTAAACAGGAGAGTTGGAGGAGGAAGAGGGGGAGAATAGGTGGGAGGGCAGGTAGGTGGGAAGAAGGACTACGTTCTTAATGTTGCATTTATGACATACATACAACATTAAATAAAGAAGTTAATTTAAAAACTACTTCAAATATGTAACACACATATTCCTAAAAATAAGTAGGTCATCATTATATAAATAGTTGAGAATAAATTCGTAAATGTCCCAATATGTCAAATTTCCTGTTCAAAGTCATCGATAAGAAAATGAATAGACAGGCCAACATAGGGAGAAAACATTTTGAAATTACATACCTGATATAACAATTCTATTCAGTGAAGTAAAAGAACTCTCAAAATTCCTTTCTAAGAAAATAAAATGACCCATTTATCAGGGAAGCTTAAAACTCAGCATTTCAAACAGGTAGAAAAGCCTTGAGATCTCTTTAAACAGCAGGTGGGGTGACTTCCTAACAGCCCAGAGAAAGGAAGGCTTGTTGGGACACATTTTCTGTCTCGGTATTTTCATACACATACATGGCTATATGAGTGATACATGCTTAGGTGATTTGGGGATATGGTCTGTGGTGTCAGTGCAGGATCTATAACTATGAGACTGGCAGATGGGTAGGTTGTCCCCACCAGTGGGGGTCTTATGTCTCAACCTAGCTTAGGCCCCTGGAAGGCAGAGTTCCAAAGATTCCGTGACACTCTCCACCTTCTAATTCTGCGATGGCAACGGCAGACCGTTAGCTGCCACACAACAGCCAGTCCTAGCAGAGACTGAGCTACAGGCAGTGCCTTCAATCTAGACTTTGGCAGTTTTATCCTTGTTTGTCCAGTGAAGAACTTCCCAGTGTTGTCGGGCTGTGGATCAGGAGTTTCACATCAGTAAGTGAAGCTGGACAGTTATTGTCACCCCTCAAGCCTACCTGAAACTCTTGGATGTCATTTGTTTGAACCTTGCCTGTGTTTGGGTTTCCTCTCCCCAGTCCCTGTTGTCCTGCTGTGACACACCATCAGCATGGCAGGATCCCACAGCCCTGCATCAGATCCCGTGGCAGAACTGAACGACCTCGAATGCCAGCAATTGCGATCCCAGCTGGCGAAGAGCCAACAGGACTGCTGGGAGCTCCAGGAGAAGTTTCTCATAGCTGAGGCTACAAACTTTGCCCTGGCCATGGAGCTGAAAAAATACAGTAAGTTCTCTCAGGTCATTTCACCACAGTGATGATTGTCCTGTATCTTCTCCTGAGGAACTAAATGGCCTCACTACGTGATTTTTGTCTTCCTTTTGCTGAACTTAATTTCCTCCTGACCACACTCCCAAGCTGACACACAGGGTTCACAAGTTTTCCAAGGTAGCAGTGAGGTGTAGGGTGACAGGAGTGCTGAATCTGTCATGGATTCCTGATGAGGCATAGAGCTGCCTGTTGTCCTCAGGCTCAGGCTCCACCATATTGAGTGCATGTTTATGATCATCCTGTCTGTGTCAGCTCCTGCAGCCTTATACCATCACTGTGGGCCTCATTTCTGGGGCTAACGTATGTCACTCAATTCAAGCTTCTGTTGACTTCCCATTGGCAAAGCACTGTCCTAGGTCCAGAAGTGGACATGTGTTCAGAGTGAGCAGGATGGGCTTCCAGAGAGACAGAGAGTCTCCTGTGCACTGGAACTCTGGTATCCATGGAAACACCCTCACAACACAGCCTCCCCACTGGGAGAAAGTCCTGCTCCTGGAGCACAAGTTCTTCTTCCAGAAGAGGAAGACGCTGCCTGAGACCTGGGAGTGGGAACACAGGGTGTACAGGGGGAATCAGGGCTACTCACCTGAGTGCCCCCCATTGCCCACCTTCTCTGTAACTTTGATTTCTCTCCCATTCATAGGTACAATCTAGATTGTCACAATAAAATGTGCTCCTTCTTTCCTATACAACTCCAAGGATGGTTCCTTGCTCAAGATCAACAAAATCCATGAGGCCCTTATTGCACTGTTTCTAATTTAGCAGGAACTATACTTTTTATTGGGCCATATTGCCTCAGGGCCTTACTTTGTTATACATTGTACTCTACACAGTTCCATGAAAGATGGTCCCTTAAGACTGTAATAACAAACACTTGAAATCTTACCCAATGCAAGGAAACAGTCCTACACCCTTATCAAGCTCCCAAACATACAGAAGGTGATGACATCATGTCCCAGGTTCTTGTTTGACCTGAGAGGCTGCAAGACTTGCTGAGTCCAGTGGCTCATGATTCAGTTTGAGCTCAGGGCCTGGGAACTCTGATTCTGTAAACACCAGTGGAATCACATTGTCAAGTCACCTTCTGTATCTTTGAGGTTCTTTTTTCCCATTTTATTGGGAAATAGCAGGGTCAGTGCTGTGGTTCAGCAGGTAAAGCTGCTGCCTGCAGTGCTGGCATCCCATATGGGTACTAGTTCAATTCTGGCTGGTCCACTACCAATCCAGCTCTCTGCTATGGCCTCAAAAACAGTAGAAGAAAACCCATGTACTTAGGCCCCTGCATCCCCATGGGAAACCTAGAAACAGCTCTTGGCTCCTGGCTTCAGATTGGCACAGCTCCAACCTTGCAGCCATTTGGGGAGTGAACCAGCTCATGGAGTCTCTCTCTCGCTCTCTCTCTCTCTCTGCCTATGTCTCTCTGTAACTCTGCCTTTCAAATAAATAAATAAATCTTTTAAAAATAGGAAATTTCAGATGCTATGTAGTGAGGTGATGAAATACAGATGTGAAACCCCCAATCTGGAGCCTGGCCCTGGAGTTCTTTTGGTCTTCAGCAGGCACTGACTACAAAAGCACCTCCCTGAGTTCTGCGTGTCTGTCTTTCCCCAGATTGTGAGAAGTTTAAAAACATCATTGAGTCCATACTGACCAAGAAGCTCCACTTGGAGGAGCCGCTGGCAGAGAAGCCCACGGTCCCAGAGCTGCTCAGGTAAGGGTCTCTGTGTGGGGCAGGCAGGTGGGAGGTGTGTGGGTGTCTCCAGTGGGGCAGCTCAGAAGGGAGAACTGAGGCATCTCAGGCATGGAAAGCCAAGGCACTGTGGCAAAAAATGTTCTCCATGTAGGATCACTGTGGGACCCCAGACAAAGAAGTGGCCATCAAAGGAGGATGCACTTTTCTCTAAGGGAGGAGAGAACTTCCACTTTGCTGATGGCCTTGTCTAAATACAGACAGAGTTTTCAAAATGCTTCCATAGCCTAGTCAGCTCATGTCATGAGCCTTGTGTGGTCCCTGACAACATACAGAGGAGTGCTAATTGTTAAATTAACAGCAGGAGTCACTGTGCACTGACTCCCCATGCAGGACCTCTGTCCTCAATGAGTTGTATTAAGAGAGAGTTACAGTGAAACATTTCTCAAACAGTTTTTATTCTTGGGTGGGTGTGTGTGGGCATTGTTGAAATCGTTACTTAATATTGAGTTGGTCTTCTGTGTACAAAGTTCATTGAAAATGCATCTTAATGGAGAATGAGACTGAGAAGTAGAGAGGGAAGAGGAGCTGGGCTGGGAGTGTGGGTGGTACGCTGGGTATGGGGAGAAGAATAACTATATTCCTAAAGTTGTCTTATGAAATGTATATTCCTTAAAATAAATGAATGAATAAATTTTTAAAAATAAATGGTAAAAATTAATTTTACAATGAAAGTAAAAGTGAATAGGTACTTTGAAAAAATTCTCCCTTCAGGAGAAATTAAAATGAAAATACATTTTTCCCTCTTCAATTACTGTTTATTTCCCTAATAAAATGGTATGAATAGATAATAATAATAAAAAAAGACATCATGGAGTCCGTGTTGACCAAGAAGCTACACGTGGAGGCCCCTGCCAAAGCAGCCCAGGTCTGCTGAGCTGCTCAGGTAAGGCTCTCTGTGTAGGGCAGGCAGGTGGGGATGTGTTTCACTAGTGGGCAGCCCAAATCAAAAACTGAGCCAGCCTGTGCCAAACAAGGGCAGAGATTTACAGCAAAGCCCTGTGTCTCAGACGTTATAAAGCAAGGAGGGAGCAGAGGAATCTGAATTCAGAGCTGCAAGTGTGGAGTCTGTAAGTAAGGTGTCCAGGTGGATGGGCTCCCATGGGGCCCTCCTGTTTACTCTCTCTTCTGCAACAGGAAATCCCCATGGCTGCGTTTCTGGGAATCCAGTCACCAGTTAGCTTTGGTCCTCTGTAGGTGGCGCTATGCCTGTTCTCTCTTCTTCCCATGTTCTCATGGTTCCCTTAGTGTGGAGGTGCTTTTCTGCGGGCACTCACCTCGAGATGGAGCTGCATTGGGTCTTCTCAGGGGAGGAGGGGGGATGCTGGGCTCCTCTGTTTGGTCACCTTGCAATCAATCCTCATTTACCCTTAGTCACCATCACCTCCTGATATAGAAGACTGATGCTTAGCTTGGCCCTGCCAGACCTTCATTCTTGTTTCTTGCCATGTAACCCCTGCATGCACCATGATTCCCAGTCACTGCACTGTACACTGTGTGTCTTCCTACATGGAAATGCCTGTGGCTGGAAGGAGGAACTGAATTAGCACCTTTATGAAGGCAGGTGAGGAAGGAAGAATCCTTGCACTGTTGATAGAAAATAACCCAAATGGAATCTCAGGAATTGTGACAAGATCTTTCTCTAAAAGTGGGAGCAAAGGCCTTGTGTTGTCCTTTGCTTTTCTTGGTACAGCTATTTCTCCAAACCTGAGTGGTGATGCTGGTGGAGGGCTCTATAAGGCATTGTTATGAAAATCTGTTGAAACACAGAGAACCTAACACTCATCCCTTCCCATCTAGAACTTTCTCCACTCTTGCACCTTAGACATTGCCGTGGCATCCTTGAAGATCAGGACCAAGAACTTTCCCAGTTACGTCCAAAGGTCCAAAGGGGGAGAAATCTAGCCCACATCCTGCAGCAGTACCTGAAGGACGTGCTCACCGTGCATGACCCTGAGACCTGTACGGGGCAGGGCTTCCGACGACTGCTCACTGAGGCTGTCCGGCTGTCAGCGAGCCTTGAGGACCTGCTTGGAGCAGGTAAGCTGGGCACAGGCTGTCATGTGAGAAGCCTCAGGGGTTCAGATGCATTCATCTCTCTGCCATGGGCATTTGCCTCAGCTCTTCTTGATACTGAACATGTGTGCCATGACAAGGTCAGCTCTGCTTGGGAAAAACAGGGGCAGAGAAGTCTTTCAAGTTTGCAGTATCCCAAAGCTCTCCTCCCTTCCTGATTGTGGTGGGCCTTTGGGGGAAGAGGCAGGGTCCATCCTCATATTAAGACCAGAAAGACCTTGTGGAGTGAGGCCACTGTTAGGCTGAACAAAGTCACTGAGCTAAGTTGAATGGAAGCCTCCAGCTCTGTGCTCAGTGTGGTTTTCAAATGGTAGACAGCTGATTGCTTTCTCCATCCAGGATTTCTCTATCCTCATTCACTAGATGGACCAAAAACTCTGGGGCAGAGCAGATGTAACCATCAAAGGTGGGAGCTGTTTTTTGTATGTTTCCCAATAGGACAAAGGCCCTCCTCTCCCTGGGAGTGCCAGACCAGGCACTAGCGTTAGTAGAACTTCAGTGAGGAAAGCTGTTGAGAAGGGAACTCATAACACAGAGAGAATTTCCTCTAATGATACAGCAGAGAAAACGTGGAGGGCCTGTGAGGGAGGGATGGAAGTCGGGTTCTTTGCTTCTTCATGACAGCTGGAGGTTCTCTGTGAGACCCATGGGAACATAGAACCCATGCCTTGGACTCCCACTAGTGGCAGGATGAGGGATAACAGGCAGAAGTCCCAGGGAAGCTTGAGAAGCTTCCAGTGATATGGGAGCAAAGGATGTTGGCCTAGTTTCAGGCAGAATCTGCCATGATTCTGATCTCCAAGTGCAGAGACACAAAGCCTGATGGACCACAAGAGAATGGCAAGGTGTTCCTTTAAACACAGAATATTTGAAGTTTTTGTCCACTATTGGCCCATATGTAGATATTCATATGCACACAGAGGCCACCTTGATTGTAGTGGGGTAGGGGGTTATAATATCTGATTGGACATTTCTGAATTTGTTTACAGAAAATATTGAAGAGGAGGAAACACCAGCACAAGGACCTGTTGCTGACAGGTAATAGTGAATGATTAGGAGCTGGCAACAAATGGGTAAAGGATGCGCAGGGTCTCCTAAAGAACAGAAAAGGGGCCGAGACAGTCATGGAGTTGAGACGCACGCAGAAACACAACTGCAGATTGTGTTGAGTCCTTCCTTGCCAACTAGGAAACCCCCCTGTTCAAGTAGTTGTCTGTTGTCCTGGTCCTAGTTGCTGATAGGATCCATCATGAACTCACAGCCTTAGGTGTTGCCTGCACACAAAGGGAACCTCTGTTCTCTGCTTTCTGGAAAAGGGAGGAAGATGCTCATCTCCTTTCTACAGAGTTAGCTGAAGTTCTCATCAGAGAAAACTAGCAAAGAGGCAATGTGCAAAGGGAGCAGTTAGGAAGAATCCAGCCAGGTTCAACTGCAGAAAAGCACCTCTACAAAACCATGTTTGTTGTTCTGTGACTTGGTTAAGAGAAGGCCCAGAAGGTAGCACACCTCTAGAATCTGCCAAGCCCCTAGGACCTTGATCACATGGCTGCAGGACACTGCAACAACCCAACCTGAGCACAGGGTGTCAGCCCGTATGGCTGTCAATGTGTGCTTGTGCTGTGACTGTGCCATGCAGCGACAGTGGAGGCTGCTTCCTCATTAGCTGCTGTGTATTGAGTGTGATGAGCAGAGGCTGATCTCTTCCCAGGCCCTCTCCCCCTAGGCAGTCACACGGTGTCCAGAGTGGAGGGAACCACCTCTATGCTGTCTATGACTGATCCCTTATGCACCCCATCCAAACCAGCCAACCCCCTGGTGTCTCTTCCTTCTTGGTTTCATCTCTGTCATCCTTATCCCACCTGGCTTCTCAGGGAGCTCTTGGAAGTGGATGAAATGGAAACCCCACAAAGTTCACAGCAGGAAACATCTATCACTGGTGCTGTTGACCACCTGCCGAGTGACTCCTGCCTGCCTGAGGGCACTGTGCAAATGTCTCCTGATGCTAAGGACACCCACGGTGTGCTAGGTGTAGATGGGGAATACGCTTGTTCACACAAGAAAGAAGAACCTGTCACCATTCTCCCAGGTACCCTCTCCATTCTTTGTACACAATAACTCTTGGGTTGATTAGGGTCACTTTTGAGCACAGGCCCTGCAGACACAAGTTGGTTTCAATCAGGGTCCAGGTTGTGGCACTGAACATAGACATCAGGAGAGTCAAGGAGCTTCCCTCCCCTCAGATGCTGTTTGTCTCACTGCACCCCAGCCTATGGGAACATACAGAGGCCCTGTATAGGAAGTGCCTTTCAGACACTCTAACTTAGAAATAATGCCTGCTGTCATCTGCAGTGATATCATTCTGTTCTACTACTGCATCCCTGGAGTTCTAGCCCCATGCAGGCTTTTGGTAACACTTCCCATGTGTGGGCCAAGTTGTGATCCTAGTTTCCCTACTTCCATCCCTAGTCTCTATCTCCTTTAAGACAGCTTATCTTAGCTATGCAATCATCTCAAAACCAGGACACAAAGTCTTTTATACTGTACTCACTGTACAGTTCCAAAAAATAGCTGAATCCAGGAACATCCCTTCAAAATCAGTGTTCAATGTTTCTCTATAACTGCATAGAATTATTTATGTGAGGTGTTATGGAGTTCATTCAGCATTCTATAGAAACTCCTCTACCCTTATTCACCATGATCAGTCTGATAGGATGAGTCAGTACTATAGCAACACTCCTAGATTTTAGATAAATAAATCCTAAAGGGCCTGGGGAGAGAGCTCTTGAATTGCTTGTATTGTTCCCATAGACAAGAGGGAGATTACTCATGAGCAACTCTTAGAATAGCCAAGATTCTGTGTGGCATCAAACAGGTTTCAATTCCAGGGCATGCAGACTCCATGCATAGCTCTCTCCCAGTGTTCTACCTCCTCTCCACAGTCAGCAACCTGGTCCTTTAATGAGAGCAGCCTGACAACTGCAGTTTGCCTCCTAGAAAGTTCTTGGGCTGTGAGCTTAGAATCCCTGAGGACCATTGCAGGCTGTTTCTAAGGGTTCTGGGCAGAGGTTATTGAGATGCTGATCCAACTGTGAACAGGGAGATTTGACCCCTTGCCCAGGATGGCTCACCAAGGCCATCTCCTGATGTCAACTTAGTCCTCCTGGAGGATTTCTGTTACAGTTCCCTGTTCTCACACGAGAACAATCTGTCCTCTTGGTAGTAGTGGCCATTGGATAACAATATCTGACCCAAAACCTGCTTAACCTGGTCAATCTCTCTGAATTTGTTTGCAGAAAATCAATATCATGAAGTGGAGGTACAAGAGCAAGTTGTCACATACACTTCCAGGTAACTCGGAGGCAGAGCAGACAGTGTAGCATGGACTACTAGGGAATCGAAATGCTGGAGGAACTGGTGACTAGAGCCATTTGGAACATTCAGCCAATGATGAAATGGCTCTGTTCCTAACGTTCCCTTTTGTATTGTTTCCCTCTATATTCCCCCTTTGAAAATCCCTCACATATTTTTACCTGTAGTCTGATGACAAAGTCACTTCTGTACCTGTGATGTGTGTCTTCAGTGTCTCTGCCCTCCCATCTCAGCAGGGAGCTCCCAGAGGAGCAAGAGCAGGAAGACCCAGAGGACTCGCTGGACGAGTGCTACCTCACTCCCTCGATTTTTCCGGTTGTTTCTGAGCTTGACCATTCCACGTGGAGCAGCTGGTGCCCCCTGCAGCAGCAGGACATGCTCTCTGCTCCAGATGCAGATGGTGAGTCCCCCACTGTGAGGTGATACAACCCCCTCTGCTTGCCAAGGAGCCCGCACTATCCTTGCACTCCTCACTCCCACCTGACTGAGAGGGCTCCCGGACATGGGATGGTCTGAGACATTCTCAGCATCTGTTCTTTTTCAACCAGTCTGTTGCACAGGTGTGGTTGGCCCATCCAGCCTTGCTGTCCTCCCATTCCTTGTGTGGCTTTGTCACTCAGATTCCAGTGCTCAGTCATTGCCAGAAGAATGTCACAGATGCACAAAACCTAAGCAGCACATCTCATGCTTGTCTCTGCCGTCTGTGCCTAATGAAGCAGACCCCTCTGCCCCCTGCAGTGTTGATCACACGAGTCATTCCCCATCCCTGTCATGTGACATTGTTTCCTGTCAGAGCCAGCACCATGCTCATCTCCATTGCAGTCAAGATACTCCCCCTGTTTCATTGAACCCAACCACGTTGTCTGTCCCTTCAACGTTGGCATCATTTTACCTACCACACGTACAGAATGTTCTGCCATTCCTTTAGTAGTGTGTCCCCAGGCTGCAAGTCTGAGACCTGTGCTTAGAGATTCCATGAGTAGCCAAGTTTTCTCTTGTGCTGCACACATGCACTCTGATACCCAGAACTGAAAATTCACCTGTTCCACCTTTTATCTTATCCTCAATGCACAAAATATGGTAAACCACAAACTACCAAGATAGCTTGTTTGAGAACCATGGGCACTGCACTCCCTCTCATGGAAAGGAATCACACTAGGAACCAAGTGTCTCCAGAGAATATTATTTTAGATTTGATTTTACCTTATGAAAGGCAGAATTAGAGAGAGAAACAGGGAGAGAAGAGAGGCAACTCTTGCATACTCTGGTCTGCTCCCCACATGGCCACAATGGCATCGACTGGACCAGGCCCAGGGAGGAACTAGGAGTTTCCTCCAGGTCTCCTATGTGGGTGCAGGGCCCAAGTACTGGGCCATCTTCTACTGCATTCCCAGGTGCATTAGAGGGATCTGGATCAGAAGTAGAAGAGCCAGGACTTGAACCGGCGTTCACATGGGATCCTGGGGTTAAAGGCAGCAGCTTTACCTGCTATGCCACAGCACCCACACTTGGGAAAATTTGTTTCATTTGTGTAGGGAATCAGGTCAGCAATTATTGGTGTGATGACTGGAGGAATAGGGAGGTTTACCTCATGTGTCAAAGAAAAATGAACAAGCTAGTTCCCTCAGAAATGACCTCAACCCTCTAGACAATTCCTATCTGAGGAGTCGGCAGTGACACTGAGGATACTGGTGTGCTGTGCTAGCACTGGACAGCGCATTGTACAGGCTTTGAGGGAATCATCCTAGATGACTGTGCCTATTTGAATTCATTTGCAGAAAAGGAAAATGACAATGATGAAGTGGAAGTTGAGACACAAGCCCTATCACACTCCAGGTGAGTCTTAGGAACCCTGGGCAGTGAGCTTAGTGCTGACACGGGCAGACTCCTGGTCCAGGGAAGAAGAGCAGTGCCACTGGGCATCTCCCATCCATTGAGCCAACCCTGTGGTACCCCGTGAGCACTGCTGTGTGCCATCGTTAGGGTACTACTTCTCCCTACCTTTTCCACGTAGTGACCTGCAGCAGGCTGACTCCATGAAGGAGCCTCTCCAGGGATTCCTTGCCATCATTGCCTCTCTCACATGCAGTGAAGGGCAGGGTGCTGCTCACAGGTCTCCTCTTCTCATGAGCTTCTCTGCACCCCATTAATCACGTGAAACCACCTGACAGAAACTAGTGCCTCAGCACTGAGAATAAGACTGACAGCTGAAGCTGTGATACTCTCCAGTATCCTAAAATGTGAATTCATTGACTCTGCATGTAATTTACATAAATCTGTTGAAGCCAGTTTTCATTTTCCAAATACTCATGGGTACTAGTGGACCAACTGAGAGTCATTTCTCCAGGCTGAGATCCTAATGACCTCATCACAGAGGAAATCCTCTATTTCTCTCTGCTTCTGTCTCCATGCACTTTCAATATTTCTGCTACTCACCTATCACCTCAAACCTAATACTCTTTCTCCAAGAAGATGACAGTACTGTTTGACTGTTTACTTTTCGTTGACTTCAAGCAGTACAAATAAGCAAAAAGAAGTCTACAAGCACACATAGATTTAATAACGTTTAATATTTGGCTGTAGTTGATTCATGGGTAAATATTATATATCTACACATACAAACTATTCTCAGTGAAGGCAGTGGGGTTTCTGTTTTACCTGGCATTCCATTTGCCACGTGCTTCATATGAGCACTTGATTTTTCCTCACATGAAAGCTGCCTGTGTTAACGTTCAGTTTGTCTACCCCAGGTGGTCAGCAAGGAGCCTCCTCAAATGGAAGACATTGCATCCTGTCTGCACCATTAGTAGCCAGTCTTCCCCATATAGGGACAAAGTTGTGGGTGGCCCCTTGCTCGGCCCAGCCACTACTGGAAGCCTCCTCTTTGGAACTGCTTGGAAAGGGGCTTTCTGTTCCCTTTCTGTTTCTCACCCACCTTTCCCTCCCTCCAGTCTCATCAGGGAGATTCCAGAGATTGAAGATCAAGATGTCTCACAAGACTCTCATGGTACGTGTTTGACTCCTGCACTTCTTCCGGAGGCTTCTGACTGGTCCCATTCTAGGAGCACCTGGTCCTCACTGGAGAATCAGCCTGTCTGCTCTGCTCTTGTAGACAGTGAGTGCTCCATTGTGAACGGGAACACTCCACTGGTTTCCCAGGTGGCCTCTGTAGTCTTGGGTTGCTGAACCTGTGTTGGGTGAGACAGACCACTGTGCACTCAGGCCCCGGGGACTTATGTCAGACTGGATGTGGCTCTTGATGGAGTTTGTTCATAGTCATCCAACGGGGAAATCCCTTGGCTGTCACCAGGCCCACTTTCAAGGTGCAGCTTTTGACGTCAAGACAGGGAAGGAGGGGATGGGAAGGCATGATGGCAACCACTGAGCCACCACCAGCTCTCTTGGAGAGGCTTCTTTAACAAGTCACTGTGATGTTCTTAATTTTAACAACAGTTGCAATTGTAAACAGCATCCTCCAAACTTCTCAGGCTTAAAGCTTTGGCAGTCTGTACAATGTTTCCTTAGTTATCTGATACTAGGTATCCTTGGTCAGCAGACTCTGTTTTCTCTGAAGCAGCTTGGTGCTAACCACACTTGTGTCCATGGTGAGGTTTTCATCTTCTGCTTCACAGTACTGATTTGTGCTCATATGAGGCCTGTAGTTTTAATCCAGTGTCTAAACTCGGCATTTTTTTCTCATGCAAAGCTTCCATAACCTTGCACCAGGACAGGAATCTATTTATTATCTGAGTGAGGCTGAGGGGTCCCTCACGTCATCACAGGCAGAGTGCCTCTTGTTGAGTAGGAGCCCTGGAGTATGGCTACTTGGGGGGGGCAGAGAAAAAGTCCAATTTCCTTGAATCTGAGCTTTGATGAGGTTTTACACTTTCTCTCAGGAGGAATCTTTAGGGTTTGAGGCATCAAGTCATTATGTAGGAAAATCAAAAAATCCAGATGCCCTTCCCTGTTTCTCAGTGTTCTGCAGTAGAATTGGCAATGACAGTTGTCCCCCCAGTGCTATAGATCAGCAGGCACCTTTTCTTGATGAGACCATGTGCTTTTGCTTGTACAGAGGTACAGAGATGTGCAGAGTCATCCCAGGACACAGCGATTCACACCCAGCTGTGAAGGCCACTCTCATGGGCATCTGTGCTGTGCTAGACCCTGTGCCGTCCTGATCCATGCAACCCTCACTGGACCTCTCCTGGTGGAGATTCTGTCCCCACCTTGGGGAGAGGATCCTGAGGCTCAACAAGGTCACTCTCCCAGGTCACCCCACCTTGTGTGCATTGCAATCAGAGACCACTCCTTGGCCTGGCCCTTGTCTGTAGGCTCAGTCCACTTGTTTTCAGCAGACATGCCAGTGATGTGGCTAGTATGGATACTCATACTTAAAACTTTTCTTCTGTAATAAACTGTGTTGAGAGAATTTCAAATATCAGAAGAAAAGTTCCGATCTGCAAACAAGAACTTCTAAAGTTCCTGCAAACATCTGCCACTTGGAAGACGTTGGTGTGCTTCATCCCTGAGCAGGGTCAGCACCTCATTGAGGTTCTCAGATAGAGATCCAGCTCAGGAGTGTCCCATGGCCTGAAAGTTCCTGGTCTCTCCCCTCAGACATTTTGCACTCAGGGTCCCAGTGAGGCATGCCCATCTGCATTTCTGTCGAAAGTGGTTGCTGTTTCACAGAACAGAGTTCCCTGGATGAACATTTCTAGGCTCCAGTTGTGCCTGGGATGTCTGACTGCAAGCATACAGGAGCTGCTTATGCTCAGAAAGCCAGAGCAGATTGGTGGGCAGTTTATGTACAGAATGATCTCTTTTGAGAGCAGGTAAACCTTCATCTCTGCCCCTGGTGACTGCTCTGTCCTTGTACTCCTATCCCCACTGAGGATGAGTGAAGTCATTGCTACATGCCAGACCTACAGACTTGTGGTTGTAGACTCAAAATCCTGAATTGAGCTGTAAGCAGGAGTTAGAATTCATATTGTTTATTTGTTATGGAACAGAGCTGTGACCATTTCACAGCAAGCTCAGCAGCATGTGCCCCGGTGGTGTTTTCTCCCTCCTGGTTGGAACCTTGGAGGATCACTGTCGCCACTTGCTTACTTTTTCTTCAATCCCAAACCTCAGCTCTGCCCTTTGACATCCATGCTTGTCCAGGCCACAGAATCCATATAGGCATCTCTGTCATTCATGTTCTCAATGGCATTTCCATTGGAAGATGAATTGACTAGGGAAGAGTTCATCCTGAAATACATGCTCTTGAATTGCTTGTATTGTTCCCAAAGACAAGAGGGAGATTATTCATGAGAAACTCTTAGAATAGCCAAGATTCTGTGTGGCATCAAACAGGTTTCAATTCCAGGGCATGCAGACTCCATGCATAGCTCTCTCCCAGTGTTCTACCTCCTCTCCACAGTCAGCAACCTGGATCCTTTAATGAGAGAAGCCTGACAACTGCAGTTTGCCTCCTAGAAAGTTCTTGGGCTGTGAGCTTAGAATCCCTGAGGACCATTGCAGGCTGTTTCTAAGGGTTCTGGGCAGAGGTTATTGAGATGCTGATCCAACTGTGAACAGGGAGATTTGACCCCTTGCCCAGGATGGCTCACCAAGGCCATCTCCTGATGTCAACTCAGTCCTCCTGGAGGATTTCTGTCACAGTCTCCTGTTCTCACACGAGAACAATCTGTCCCCTTGGTAGTAGTGGCCATCGGATACTCATATCTGACCCAAAACCTGCTTAACCTGGTCAATCTCTCTGAATTTGTTTGCAGAAAATCAATATCATGAAGTGGAGGTACAAGAGCAAGTTGTCACATACACTTTCAGGTAACTGGGAGGCAGTAGCATGGACTACTAGGAAATTAGAAGCCAGTCTTCCCCAGATAGGGACAAGGTTGTGGGTGGCCCCTTGCTCAGCCCAGCCACTACTGGAAGCCTCCTCTTTGGAACTGCTTTTGGAACTGCTTGGAAAGGGGCTTTCTGTTCCCTTTCTGTTTCTCACCCACCTTTCCCTCCCTCCAGTCTCATCAGGGAGATTCCAGAGATTGAAGATCAAGATGTCTCACAAGACTCTCACGGTACATGTTTGACTCCTGCACTTCTTCCGGAGGCTTCTGACTGGTCCCATTCTAGGAGCACCTGGTCCTCACTGGAGAAACAGCCTGTCTGCTCTGCTCTTGTAGACAGTGAGTGCTCCATTGTGAACAGGAACACTCCACTCGTCTCCCAGGTGGCCTCTGTAGTCTTGGGTTGCTGCACCTGTGTTGGGTGAGACAGACCACTGTGCACTCAGGCCCTGGGGACTTATCTCCGTCTGGATGTGGCTCTTGGGTGGATTTGTTCATAGTCATCAAATGGGGGAATCCCTTGGCTGTCACCAGGCCCACTTTCGAGGTGCAGATTTTGACGTCAAGACAGGGAAGGAGGGGAAGGGAAGGCATGATGGCAACCACTGAGCCACCACCATCTCTCTTGGAGAGGCTTCTTTAACAAGTCACTGTGATGTTCTTAATTTTAACACCAGTTGCAATTGTAAACAGCATCCTCCAAACTTCTCAGGGCGATAGAACAGGATCATCTAACCTGGAGGGCATTGTAATGAGAGACAAGGACAGGGGACCATGCACAGCTGGAATGAACAACACTAGCACAAGAACACATGCATTTCATACATGCACATGCTTTGCTGAACATACACCAAGCACATCGACTCATAGGATATATGCCTTCAGTGCTTGTCATATAGATAATAATATATATGATGTGACCATCACTTTTCTGGTCAGTTGAAGGGGGAACCTAGTTACAGGCACCTGAAGAAGGGAGAGACAAGCTAAGGTGAAACACAAAAGTCAGGAAGAAACTTTGGCAGTCTGTGCAATGTTTCCTTAGTTATCTGATACTGGGTATCCTTAGTCAGCAGACTCTGTTTTCTCTGAAGCAGCTTGGTGCTAACCACAGCAGTCCAGTCCCACACCTGTGTCCATGGTGTGGTTTTCATCTTCTGCTTCACAGCACTGATTTGTGCTCATATGAGGTCTGTAGTTTTAATCCAGTGTCTAAACTTGGCATTTTATTCTCATACAAAGCTTCCATAACCTTGTACCAGGACAGGAATCTATTCAGTATCTGAGTGAGGCTGAGGTTTCCCTCACGTCATCACAGGCAGAGTGCCTCTTGTTGAGTAGGAGCCTTGGAGCATGGCTTCATAAGGGGGGCAGAGAAAAAGTCCAATTTCCTTGAATCTGAGCTTCAATGAGGTTTTACACTTTCTCTCAGGAGGAATCTTTAGGGTTTGAGGCACCTTCACTCATCAAATCATTCTGTAGGAAAATCACGAAATCCTGATGTCCTTCCCTGTTTCTCAGTGTTCTGCAGTAGAATTGGCAATGACAGTTGTCCCCCCAGTGCTATAGATCAGCAGACACCTTTTCTTGGTGAGACCATGCGCTTTTCCTCTGTACAGACATACAGAGATGCGCAGAGTCATCCCAGGACACAGCGATTCACACCCAGCTATGAAGGCCACTCTCATGGGCATCTGTGCTGTGCTAGACCCTGTGCCGTCCTGATCCATGCAACCCTCACTAGACCCCCCTGGTGGAGATTCTGTCCCCACCTTGGGGAGAGGATCCTGAGGCTCAACAAGGTCACTCTCCCAGGTCACCCCACCTTGTGTGCATTGCAATCAGAGACCACTCCTTGGCCTGCCCTTGTCTGTAGGCTCAGTCCACTTGTTTTCAGCACACATGCCAGCGATGTGGCTGCTATGGGTACTCACACTTAAAACTTTTCTTCTGTAACAAATTGTGTTGAGAGAATTTCAAATATCAGAAGAAAAGTTCCGATCTGCAAACAAGAACTTCTAAAGTTCCTGCAAACATCTGCCACTTGGAAGACGTTGGTGTGCTTCATCCCTGAGCAGGGTCAGCACCTCATTGAGGTTCTCAGATAGACCTCCAGCTCAGGAGTGTCCCATGGCCTGAAAGTTCCTTGTCTCTC